ATAATAATAATAATAATAATAATAATAATAATGCATTAGTTTTATATAGCGCTTTTCGAGACCCTCAAAGACACTTTACAATTTTCATGTATCATTCATTCACACTCACATTCACACACTGATTTTGAACAAACTGAGTTTGGAGACACTGGATTTTTTTTCTGACCAGACTGACGAGCTAACGGCTAGTTTAGGCAGGGCAAAAAACAAAGCGGATTGCTGTCATCACAAAACACCTCCAGTCTTAAAAGCTTCATGCCTTTTATGCAGACACTATTGTTTAAAAAGTTTCATAGTTATCAGTTTCATCTTACACAATTATTTACTTAGAACTCTATAGTTTTTTGCGGGGAGTGTAAACAGCAGTCTTGCAGCTAGCTGTAGCATTTAACTTACAGCTTGGGGCATTTCCTGTAAGAATACATAATCTTCTGTAAGATGGCCAGATGTAAGACTAGCCATCAATTTAAACCAAATCAAACCACTTCACCTACAACAGGTAAGATATTGATTGCTCACAACTTTCCCACAGAACCCCCTTAAAAAGATATGAATCCCTTCTCGTTTCCAGTAAAGCAAACATTTGTGAATCTTTAAAAAAACATACTGAAGCGGAACAAAACTAGTTTTTCTGAGCCGAAACAGGATGTTTGTCATCAGGACTCACCGCCCCGGGTCGTGGTTCTGGTACTGGGTGGTTGTAGGTGTACCACTGTTGGGTCTCTCTGTTCACCTCTCGGTACCGGCCGTTGAAGGCTGCCTCCACCTGCGCCATGCTGAAGGCGCACACCGCCGAGCTGCCCGACGCTCCTTTATACCTGCAGACAGACAGGTGCAGACGCGTGACGTGGCGTGACGCAGCTGGAGGCCGGTCCGACCCGCCGCCCCGTCTCCGTGTCTCACCACTGTGACGTGAAGACGCCGTAGAAGACGGTGCTCTCCCAGCTGTCGCCCGTGGGCTTCAGGACGAACATGTCCTGGATGATGTTGAAGGGGAAGCCGTCGTCGGGGAGGGAGCACAGCAGCTGAGCCTTCAGGAAGGTCGTCCACTTCTTCTGCAGCACTCGCTCACCTCCTCTGTCACCCTGAAAGCAAAACCCAGGGAAGATTTTCAGCCACGTTATTAATCTCAGCGTGAGCCGGGGGCGGGGGGAGGGAGGGTTGGGAGAGCGTAACCTCTGCTCGCCTCGACAGATAAGAGACGGAGCTCCGGAGGAGTGAGGCTCGTGTGAGCAGAAGCTAGGAGTTCAACTCTGATATGAATAAAATCCCTGATTAGTGAGACGCTGCAGCTGCGGTGGTAAGGGAGGATGTTTTAGCCTCCAAACCAGCTGAAAATATGCTGAAGAGGCAGACTTACATATTTAACTTCCTCCTACATTCAGAGATGAAAACATTTGGTAATTAAAGGGGCAATATCATGTAAAATCAACCTTTTTTGAGTTTTATTTCATGTTATAATGTTATACTCTCATAAAAAACATGCCCAAAGCCTTGCTTTGACTCATTCATGCATGTTTGAGAAATCCTGCAGCGTTTTTAGGAAGCCATGCTGAGGAGCAAAACGACAGGTGGGGACCAGAACGCCCCTGGGACGTGTCTTTAATCCGAGCTTCCTCTTCACGGCGCACACCTCCCCACCCCACACACCCGACCCATGGAGAAGGGGTTAACTGCAGAATCAAAGTGGGCGTGACACAAGAGTGGGCGTGTCTAAAGCATAAACTCTGTGGGCTACGAGGCCTACATGACAGTATCCTTGGACCCTGCTTGACCCGTATACAGCCTGACCCTGACCCCAGCACTAAGGTTAACCAGGAGAAATGTGACTCAAGTAGGGGTGTCCAGAAAAATTGGTGCCGTACAGTAACGCCCCTTTTGTTCTTGTCCAATCAGGTGGTGCCGTACGGTGACGCCCCTTTTTTTGCTTGTCCACTCAGGTGTGTCCCTTTAAAAAGTCCGTCAAATCAGATGTGTCGTTTTAGAATCGCCTTTCGTTGGGACACGCCCACTCGTCCGCAGAGACCCCTACTTGCGCCCATGAGCTCTGCAGGCTCTCAGTGAAAGTGAAAGTGAAACTTAAACTGTCTGCTGACCTCCACTACTTCTTGCTCTTTTCGGATTCAAAATACCTTTTGAGGAAATGTATTTTCAGATGCCAAGTAAACTGCACCATAGCCCCCTCCCTCCCCCCGCACTGAAATGGACGAGACAGAAGTGGAAGGTGGTTCTTAAAGAGACAGAGGCCAATTTCAAGGCATTTAAGAAGAGGAAGTGATGAGAAGATAAGTTTATTTTCTATTTAAACATAAAAACAGCATTTTAGTAACAACTAAAGGTGACATAGATACTTTAGTATGGTATAGTATTTAAATGCATGCCTGAGAAACACATAATATTGCCCCTTTAAATCTCTTTAAAATGTAGAGCATCTAATCAGGCACAACAACACAACTTAACATTTAACTCAACAGCTGTTTTATAGACAGAAACGTAGAACATTCAGTAAAACTAAAACAAGTTTCAAAGGTTCATTTTTTATGTGCTGTCAGGCAAATCAAAAATAAAACACTTCAGAAGGTGGACATATTAAAGACAAGAAATTATCACAGCAACCACCAAGATCACAAGTTAGAGTACAAACAAAAGTTTTCTCAACGAAACAAGCAAACAAAAAGACTAAAGGATCAACTTATAACAGCACAATGAGAAGGACAGAATTGAAAAAAAAAAACAGAGGTTTTGTTGTTTCTTTTTGATAGTTTTATAGTTTGTTTTTCAAATTGTAGTTGTTAGTATCAATAGTTTGAAGTTTAGTTTTTAAAATCCCAAACTACCCAAACAAATGAGCCATTTGACTCTTGTTAGGCAAGATGTGTTAAACTTGTCAGTTATATTAAGCTGAAAAGAAATCCACAGTTCTCAAACCATGATGCAATCCTTCACTTTTCCTTTAGAGGGCGCTGTTCAGCTCAAACAATTAAACACTTGTTTGTGACCATTTAGGAGTTAAATAAGATGGACAAACTAACAACAACCGTGGATAATTTTGTGTTGAAATCACTGAATACAACAGATATTATGAAATGTAAGATATCAGAATGTTTTACAATCCAAACATGCTTTAATGCCAAACCCTGGCTTCTCTTTGAAGGACAGAACATTTGAATTTAGAAAACAGCTGGTTATTATTTAAAACTTTGCAAGTGATAATTAGTTCAGGCCTTCCCTCTCCCTTTGCTCCCTTTTAGTTCGACACAAAACATGTTTCTGGGCTTATCAGAGAGCTTGTAAACAGATGCCAGAAAGACCCTCCCCTGAAATGTCAGGGAGGAGGACGAGCTAAACAAGTGGTCGCGGCCAAACCGTCTCAAGAGCAGCTCCTCCAAACCCGGAGCTGCTCCTCGGCAGCCTGAGGAGCGAGCCTCCTCGGAGGAGATAATAAAGTGTTAACCTATTACAGCGTCCCTCCTGTGTGCCGACACACACAAACGATCCTGCGGCTCCGCAGTGAGCTGTGGGACTGATGCAGGGCCCGCCAGCCAATTACTAAACCTGTCCACGTAATGAGACGTCCACATTCCTGCTGTCCTCTGCTGTTGCTGCTGCGCTCCGCCGCGGAGCGTCAGGTCATTTCAGCCACTCCCCCCGAAAACAGGAACACTTCTCTTTGCTGGCCAATGCAGCTGCTTTTAATCAACTTTAAATTTATTATTTATCGTGTTCGACTCTTTTCCTGTTTATAGGTTTTTAGATGGACTACTTCAGCAGACTTTCAATTTCAGCTATTTAGATATCAAAACATTCAGCTCGTTGCTATTTCAGTACTTTTTGAATTATTTGGTTTTATTTGTAAGTTTTATTTCTTATCAAATGCATAAGGATCTCTTCAAATCCTTATAAAAGTTAGGCACATTTGCTTCATTTTTAGCTTGTTGCTACCATTTGGCTAGTTAAAGAGTTTGGCTACAATTTTGCTAATTTCTGCTTCAAATTAATCTTTTGCTAATTTAAGCATTTAGCTATGGCTCAGCTAATTCTAGTTTCCACTATTGTTGCTAATTGTACCTTCTGGTTCATGCAGGTTTCAGTAAGTTAAATTTAAAACCTTTTAAGACCATTAGGAATGACATAAAGAACAAACCAACGCATTAACAGAAACATTCAAATGGTCTCAGAAATTTTAACATAGAAACCTTTCATTGCTATCAATTTAGCTATAAAAGAATATTTAATTTTAATACAAGAACACTAATTTATTTTAATGAAACAGTCATACCTACTCCTGTGGATCGCTTCCAAATGAGTGCAAAAATCACTGATATTCAGCTAAGTCTCATTAAAAACACTTTCCCATGTTCAAACCACAAGCAGTGGATACGACTGAACTTCTGTGTTTTTTGGGCGGGTGACCAAGCCACCGTATGCAGGGGGGTCGCAGCAGCAAAGAGGTTGAAAACATGGAAGTAAACTGTTGTTTACTTAAAGGGATCCCCGATAAGTTGTAACATTAGACTTTATTTGATAAACATATATTTTAACTGTAAAATAAAGACTGTAAAAATACTGTAGGATGTTTAGTTTTTAACATTTTTAAACTAAAAGTTTAAAAATATATTACACGGACGGGGCCATTTTATTTACACGCAAAGCATTCTGGGTAAATGATGACATCAACTAGGTCTTCGGTGCGAGGCTGCTAGCGAGCTAAATCCACCCTGAAGGTTAATCTGAGGTACACTTGGCTGCAGCATGCAGAACGGGGCGGGGACGGACCTTTCCGTCAGTCCCATACC